AAAAATTTGATTAATATGGGAAATATTGACTAATGGTTAATAGAATAATTATGAATCTACTGTAATAAAATGAGCAATTAGATTGAATCGATAATGGACTTATGGAATTAATGTGGAACTAAGGGCTAGTTGGTATAAAAAAAAAATAATAATAATAATAAATGAGGTGAAAGTTCAGTTTGTAATAAATTTATTAGATATTATATAATTAAGATCCTAGCATATGTAGGATACTTAATGGGCTAGACTAAGTTCATGAATCTTTTATAATAAAAGGAATGTAGAAGATGATGAGTAACTTTAAATCACAAATGGGTCTTTTATAATTAAAAAGGGAATTAGAGATTGATGAGTAACTTTAAATCAACAAATGGGGAATTAAATTTGTTGGAAATAATGCTGTAGGAAAACTTAATAATTAACGGAATTTGATATATCTTGACAGGAAGAGTTGTGCAGAAAAGACTAATATTATTATTAAATCTAAGTTAAGTAGTAAGAAAACTTACATAAAAATCTGCTTTAAAGAATTCAGTACAAATTAGATCGAGGTGCTAAAATAAGATAAAAATAAAATTAAAAGTTAATAAAATTTGGAGAGGATAAAGGTCCTAAGATAACTCATAATGATGAAATTGAATAAGAATCCAAGAAACAATGACCTTACGATCGGAATTAAATTTGTGTAGAATAACGGGTTTCACGCCATAGATTTCATGTACCCAACCATTAAATTCTTTTTTACGGGATAAGACTTAAATGAGGGTTGGGTACACTAGAAGATATGGAGGATAAAAGGAGATTAGAATGAATAAAAAAAAAAAAAAAAAAAAAAATCTAAAGAACTTGCTATAAAATTAGGGCGCGATGCTAAATAGTTAAGTAAAGTCAATGATGATAATATGGTCAATTAATCCACGGATTGAAAATACTAAGAATAAATAATTAGGAAACAAATTGAGGAAGGATAAAATTCGATTTGTAAGAAATATGCAAAAAAAAAAAAAAAAAAAAAAAAAAAAAAAAAAAAAGAAAACATTGGAATGATGCTAAAATAAATACTAATGAATAAAGATAAAATAATAATAATAATAATTAATAATAATAATAATAATTAATAATAATAATAATAAGATTAAATATAAATATAAAATATAACTAATAAACTCACTAATCGAAAATAACTTTGGAAAAAAATTTAAGCGTGTGGGACCAGTCTATAGGGAGATTAAAAAATAGCGAAAGGAATAGTAATTGATGAAAAAGATTAGACATATGCCTTGGTTTAAGAGGATCAATTTAGGGATGAAATATGTAACAATAGACTGAAATTAGATGATTTAAAGGATTGTCCTTGTGGAGATAGGACAATTTATTTTTATTAAATACCAAAAAAGTTTTAGAAAATACAATTGAGTATTGATTTTTTCAAACTTCATTTTTGAAAATATTTTTATACCACGATTGAGATTGGTTTTTGAAATGAATAAAAGTGGAATACAAGGAATTTTCAAAGTTTTGTGCTGAGATTGACATGCCGGATATTTTTTTTAAAGGGGAAAGAAAAATTATTTTGAAAGTTTTTTTTTTCTTTAAAATAGCCAGTTACCCATAAAATGGTCAAAGCTAGTCGGTTCGTTGTAAACTCATTAGTAAGAATTGGATAAATGATGATCTAACAAATCAAATGGATGGAATAATAATGTGTATTGAGGAATATTTAATAAAGGAAGTTAGAAAAATAACTTGTTAGACTAAAATAAGAAAGTTGAGATAGATAAAATTTGATATTATTATTTTAAAACGGACTTGGGAAAAAAAATTAAACAATTAAATTATTGTAATATGAAGAATGAATTTAGGGCCTTATTTACTATTTCATTAATTTAATGGCAGAAAATGGAAATTCTATATATAAACGAATAAATTCATTTAGTTGACGCGTAAATTTAATATAAGGGGAAGTAGAATGATTAATGCTTATTTATTCGATGTAATATTTGAGGTTAAGGCAACATTAAGTCGAGATGTAAGAAATTTCATGAGACTTTATATGTTTGATTAAGGTATGAGGTAAAAGGTAAATAGTAGGGGGCAAGTTAATAAAAGGTATTGGATGAAATATTGTTAATGAGATAAATTGTATGATTAATAATAGATTGGAATAATTTAAAAAAGTAACGTTCGACTATTCTTAGATGGATTTAGTAAGAAACATACGTGAAATAGACAATTGAAAAGCCAAAAGATGTACTAGGGAAGTCAACTTATAATTGATATATGTTAAGAGATAAGGAATTGAGATTAACGTAGGGACTTACGATTAAAATAGAAAGTGTGGAGGTTCCTATAGAGTAGGATAACTAATAGTGCAGGAATGTCCATAGTAAATGAGCTAATTTAAATAATTGCGCTACGGTACGATAAAAGTATTTTAACAAGAAATAGAACTTGGTATAAAAGAACTGAGGAGTTGATCGAATAACCCTGTAGACAATTGAAAAATTTTCAAGAAAATTTTTCTAAAATCTTTGGATTAAAGTAACAGTTTTTTCGACTTTTGGATTAAGCAAAGATTATCGTTCATAATATATGTTAAAATAAATAAATCCAAATTAAATTTTCAAATTGTTTTACTTTTTGCAAATTATTGTATTTGGTTTTCAATAAAGAAATGTTGTAATAAAATTTAATTTGGGGAAAAATAATAAGTATTAAGCATTTGTTGTAAAGCTCGGTTAATTGTAAGATTTTTATTTAAAGAAGATTTTTTCTAGCAACTGTCCGATGATAGTTTAGAGGCTAAGTAACCAAAGCTTCCTATAAGTATCAGCTAGGTGGTATTTGTATAGCTTGAACGAAAATTTTGGGTTTACAATATTGATTGGTTGGTAGAAATACAAGCAGAATACCTCATTCCACTTCGTTTCCTCGATTTTATATTTGCTCGCCAGAGCTGTTCTTCCTTGCGTTATTGGGAAGCAAATTTCATATAACTTTAAAATTTTCCATGCATCCATTCTTATTCCTTTTCCCACATAGATTTTCAATCGAGGACGAATTGTCTTAAGGGGGGGGAGATTGTAATTATTCCCGAATTTTTATTTTCAAACTTTTAGAATTTATTAAATCAAAAATCCGAATTTTTTTTTATAGTATGGGTCGTGGAAGACGAGCATTTTTCTTAAACTTGAAGCCCAAATTTGAAATCGAGCCCTAAAGCCCAAAAACAGAACGTTCAGGAAATTTCGATGGAAATAAAATGGAACTCTTTTTTACGGATATAAACTAATTATCCTAAATTAATTTATTGTTATCATTATTTGTTGTACTTTAGAAAGTTAAATTGAAGAGATGTTTTATGACCCAACTAAAATAATTAAATTAATTAAACCGGAACCTAAAAATTAATTAAACTGTGTTCGAAACCACACGAATAAATTGAAAAAACGATGCGAAAAAAAAAAAAAAAAAAAAAAAAAAAAAAAAAAAAACCAAAACGAAACGGAGATCCAAATCACTGAATCGGACCGAATTCGGTTCGAATCAACCGGACCGGCCCATTTCCTTTTTCTTTTCTTTTTTTTCTTTCTTTATTCTTTTCTTTTCTTCCTTCTTCTTTCTCCAGTACGTTGACCTCCTCTCTCCTCCTCCTCCTCCCCTCTTTCTTTGATCTCCTTCCCTCCGGCCACGAATTTTGGCAAATGAAATACTCTAAAAACATCTACGTCAACGCGTAGGACAAGAAGATTTCTATAGCGTAGATTTAAACTTGAATTGTGACTTATTTTCGAAGGGGAAGAGGCTTGAAGTTTCGGACACCTTTTTTTCCGGCGATTCACGCCGTTTCAGGGCAAGCCTAGGACAACAAGGTGGAGTTACCAAATTGACTCTCTCTTCTTCCTCTTTTTAATTTTGGATTGGGCCTCCTCCGTCGACTGAAATAGCCGCGGAATCGGAAAACCCAAAATGGGTATCACCGAACCTTTCCGATCAATTTTCGGCCAAAATAGTCGTTACCCCAACCTTGATTTGAATACCATATTTAATGATCCTCTCCATCGAAACGAAAAAATGATATATTGTTTGTTAATTTGGTTTGAAGATTGAATTTCCCGGCCACCATGTGCACGGTGGCGACGGCGGTGGTCCGAGCGACTGGCCGGCGACACTCCGAGTGAGCACCAAAAAAGGCCAGAAATCTTCCTCTTTCTCATTGTAGGTTTGTGGATCCCGTCGTCTGAATTTTCAATCGGTACCACTCTAAAGCTTAATTCGCAATTTATTGAATAAATCCCGAATTAATTAATTAATGAACTTAATTAGTATTTAAAAGTAAAATTGAATTAAATATTGCTTAAATATATTTTTTATGAATATAAGGTATAACTATAAGGTTGGCTTACAAAAAATATATATATATATTCCTAGCTAATTAATTAAAATTTTAGGTATTAACAAATTAAAAATAGTTATAGAACAATTAATATAATGGATTATGTTGAATTAATTGTGACCGAATAAATGACGGATATGGCGGACGAGATTAGTGGATTATGGAATTTGCCCGATGGAATGGGCGCCCGTGTGTGGATTTGTGAAAATATTGAAAAATTTTGGACTAGTCCAGGTTTTATAGAGAAAATGTTGCCGAATTTTTTTAATAAAACACTTAATGAAGAATTAAATTAGTTATAATTCTTTTAAGAAGTAGGTGACGACAAAAATTTGAAGTATTAAAGAAATATTATACAATATTTAGAATTATCATTATATAATATTCTCACCGAAATAATTAGAGATTATATCTAAAGGTTATAAAAATTAGAATAGTTATTTATATAAAATGATGAGAACCTTAAAATATATAATGCGTATATAACAAGTGAATTTAAATGACCGGTAGCCAAAATAAATAAACGAATGTGAAATATAAGTTTTTGAATTAAAATTCTTATTTAGAATTTTCTTATTTATTTTAAAGGTTTATAAAAATACCAAAAATGCGATTGACAAAAGCTGGAAGCAATGTGGCTAAAAAAGGCAGTCCTTTTAAAGGACAATAAAGAACTGTGAGTAAGTGTTAGATTAACTAGTATCATCCGCCTGCATTTCATTGCATTCACGGCTTAAATGCTATCATGCCCATTAATTTGTTGAATTTGCCATATTGTGGCTGCACCTAATTGTTGATATTAAATAAATTATGTGATTACTTGTGCTGTGTATATACTGTGCCTTGTTTTGTGTGGAATTGGGATGAAGTGGGCCACCATGGGTTTGTGAGACCGGTCTATGTGATATGGATCCTGAATATGATATGATATGAAATTGTTGACCGTCCGGGGAAAAAAATGGGAGATCGGCGCCCCCCGTGTGCACCTGATGATATGGATGTATTATAGAACCACAGGATGGCCTCTTGTTGTGCGCACCTGATAATCTAGATTTTGATTGTAAGCCCGCAGTTGGCCTCCTTGTTGTGAGCACTTGATGATCTAGATTGAGATGGAGACCCACCGAGTTGCCTCCTGTTGGTATGGGAAAAAGAAAAGAGAAGAAAATGGAAAAACAATGAGCAGGAATAGGTATAGTGAGGATAAGGACCAGTGGCCGTATGGAGGGATCGGCTCCCTGGTGCACATGTATAGAAGAGGGCGGAGCCATGTGTGAGGACGGCTCGTTGGTGGTTCAGGTTGGTGCCACTGACTTAATTTCCACGTGATGTGATTTATTTATGAAGGTGATGATTTACTTGTGATTGCTGGTGTATTTGGCCATTTGCTGTGACAAAACTGCATGATCATATAATTAAACTGGTAACTAAGATTTAAAAAATATTTTTAGCATCTGTGTGATGTGTGGGGTGAGAGGCGTTATCTTAACCCTACTCATTGAGTTTGGGCGCTCACCCCTGCCTACTATTTTTTTTTTCCAGGTAATAAAAAGAAAGAAAAGCCTTGTGGAGTTTGAGACACTTATTGTAGAAGAACTGTTAATGATAGAAATAACGATGTAAAATACAAAGGTTAGAGTTTCCGCAATTTGTATTCCAGATTGGGTTTGCTAATTTAAATAATGAAAGTCCATTTTGTAAAATATAATTGAACTGTATTTTGAATGCATATGCATAATAAGTTAATGGTGCCCGATCCATAAAATATTTGTAGAATGTCGAAATTGGAATAAGTTTAGGCTTACTTACGGCTTCGGGCGGCCTTTAAGCCCACCCCAAGGTTCCTAGTGCCGGTCCGGCCCACGAAAATGGGGTCGTTGACAATTTGGTCTACTCCTGAGCTTGTTGTTATTTTCTTATAGGACTAAAATGTTCTTTTAATATATTTCCACTATTATGATTATTCAATTTACAATTTAGTAGTAATATTTTCCCATCGAGATTTTATTTGTTTCGTGATTGTTGGTATAATTGCTTGTTTGAGTTTATTAAAATTATATAGATGTTATTATATGATTCTATAATTATATGTGATATTATAATTATGTTTTTAAATTCAGTCTTATTATGTTATTAAATATTTATTATTGATTGATGATTTTAGAATGTAATGTATCTTAGACTTCAAAATGTTTTCCTTTTAACCTATTAACCACTATTTCCCACCCAAAATAAGCTGGAGGGTCCTAATTATGTTTGACTGAAAAGAGGAACCTAGGATATTTGTGCCTAAACTGCTTGAGGAATATAAGTTTGTGCTTACTGAAGGGTGTGTCTAGAGAAACATGCAAAAAGGTGCCTCTGAGGGGAAGCTAAACCATTACAAAAAGGTTGGAATGAGGCTGGATGAGGGATGGCGCGCGGCGTTATATTGTCTGGCATCCATGCTCGAATTTGTTATTGCAAAACATCAGACATCAGGTCCCATGGGAAAAACTTGGGGCCTATTGAATCCGGGAAAAAGCCTTAAACCAAATTGTTTCATAGATTTCAGACTCGAGCAGCTAAGCAGACTGCCATTTGCAACCTCTACTTTTAACTGCTAAGATGGTTGAGGGGTCTCTTAGTTTAGAGATCATGGTTTTGGGGGAAAAATGATTGGTTCTTTTTGAATTGAACTAGAGATCTTTTAGGGTGGCTGAGATTTTTGATTAAGGATTCCAACAGGTGGGGGGAGGGGATGGGTTTCTAAACAGGGGGACCCCCCCCAACTTTTGGCCTAAAACAAGTTTTTTGCCAGGCATTTTTTTTTTATTCCCCCATTTCTTTTAATTTTTTTTTTTTTTTTTAAAAACCCCCCCAAAAAAAAAAAAAAAAAAAAAAAAAAATAAAAAAAACATTGAATCATTTTTTTTGGATCTCTCTCTTTT